TCCCTCTGCAAAAACTGAATATAGTCCCTTGTCCCTTGTCCTCATATATCCCTTCTTTCAGAAAATCACTTTTTTGTCAACAAGTGGTTAACATATTTCGGAATTAAGGTAAAAAATAACCTAAATGGTTTATTAAAAAAGTAAAATACATTTTTTACATACTCGCTGGTGTAGGACCAAACCCGACTACATATTCCAACTCGTGTTTAATGTTTTATTTAAGAATCGAAATGTGAACGGCGATACCACCAGTTTTGTATAAAAGCAGGTTGAACCAAGTTTTTTTTATCAAAGAGACCTACACTGAAAATAATCCATGCTTAACTTTACGAAAAAAAATTTCGTAACTACTTTTTTCGTAATATATACGAAAATTTTGTGTATAATACGAAATATTGTTTAATCAACCCCTTTTCTAATTTTACGAAAGTACGAAAACCTGTCGTAATATCTTTTTTCGTATATATTAAGAAACTTTGTTTTCTTTTACAAAAATAATTTCATTAAGTCATGTAATATTTAAAGAAAGTAACGAATTTTTTTCGTAACAAAATTATTTAGTAATATACAAGAATTATTTTTGATTTTACAAAAAAAATTATTTTGTTACGAATTTTTTTTTTTTTTTTTGTTATTTTCGTAATTTTAAGCGAGTTAAATTAAACGTATTTTTAAATTTACAGGAAATTAGCTGCCTAATTTCCTGTAAATTTTTTATGTTTTTTTAAAAAACATAAAAAATTTGTTTTTTTTTAATTCGCAATCTTTTTTTAAATTTACAATGATTATTTTAAAAGAACTAACATATTTATGTTTTTAAAAAAATCGTAAAATGAACAATTTTTTTTTTCTAAATTTATATAAAATTATTTTGCATTTTACTAAAATATTTCGTACAATTTCGTATATATTACGAAAGAATTTCGTGGTGGCGAAACCACCAATCATTTCGTACAATGTACGACATTTTTCGTGTATATTATGGCATGGATTATTTTCAGTGTAGAAACGTCGTTCCTAGATATGAATTAGTCAAAAAGAATTTGGATTCATTCTCCATTGAACGGATAACACTAAATTATACTATATCCAAAATTGTAATGATGATATTAATTGTTTTTATTCTGAATGTGTGGAACTGGTTTATTTTGAAGTTGTCAATTTGAAGATTGAAATGCGATAAGAACGGACAGAATCCATTAGGGGCATTTGAAGGATGGAAAGACATTATGAAGCTAAATAGGGTGTAATGAAATATGGTGCGCAACGACGATCCATCTATCTATCTATCTATCTATCTATCTTTATCTTCGACTATCTTCTATCTATCTATCTATCTATCTATCTATCTATCTATATCTATCTATCTATCTATCTATCTATCTATCTATCTATCTATCTACTATCTATCTATCTATCTATCTATCTATCTATCTATCTATCTATCTATCTATCTATCTATCTATCTATCTATATATCTATCTATCTATCTATCTATCTATCTATCTATCTATCTATCTATCTATCTATCTATCTATCTATCTATCTATCTATCTATCTATCTATCTATCTATCTATCTATCTATCTATCTATCTATCTATCTATCTATCTATCTATCTATCTATCTATCTATCTATCTATCTATCTATCTATCTATCTATCTATCTATCTATCTATCTATCTATCTATCTATCTATATATCTATCTATCTATCTATCTATCTATCTATCTATCTATCTATCTATCTATCTATCTATCTATCTATCTATCTATCTATCTATCTATCTATCTATCTATCTATCTATCTATCTATCTATCTATCTATCTATCTATCTATCTATCTATCTATCTATCTATCTATCTATCTAATATTTCTGGAACAAGTTACGACAGCTTATTTGATTTTGAATTGCAAAATTTCCCTAAAAATCACATATCCCTATTTGGAAATGGTGTTATGCCTAAGAAGTATGTAGAAAAAGCCACCAATAAAAACGAATAAATTACAATTTCTTCACATAAATACACTAAAAATTATACTTTAAAGTAATAAAAAATAATAAATTCAAATTAAAAAAAAAAAATATTGAAAAAATTCAAAACCGTCATTTAAACGGTAAATTATTTTGTATGCTCAAGAAAAAAAACGAAACAAAAAACAATAAAAAAAACAAAATCATAAAAGAATTAAAATTAATAAAAAAAAACTAAAAAATACATTATACAAAAACAACAAAAAAAAAAATATGAATAAATTTTAACAAATACGAGAATAAATAAAAAATATTAGTTAAAATAATGACATACGATTCTGAGTTTTTTGTTTATTTGGGTTTTTAGACAAAAAAACATAAATTTTTTTATTACTTTAATATTTTAGTTAAGTATTTCTCGTTATTTCGAGAAAATATTTGTTGTTTTTGTTGCTGTTGTTTTTTTTTTATTTTGTTTATTGTTTTGTGGCACAAACAGAGGAAGAAGAAAATCTTTGTATGTGTTTTGTTGAGTTGTGTTTTTTTAATACAAATTGAAATGAATAAATAAAATCCAAAATAATAATAAGAATATGAATTTAATTTTCGTTTTTTTGTTGAATTCAATTTTGTATCTGTGTGTGTGTGAATGTGAGTTTCTGTTTCTTTAACGTTCCAATAAAAATAATAAATGGAAAAAATTATGTATACTCAAGCTTAATTGAATAAAAAATACAACAACAACAACAAGAGCAATAACTACGAAATCATAATAATAAAATAAAATATACAAGTTTGATTTGTTTTTCTACTCCTCTTACTCGTCGTCTGAATTTCTACATAAAAAGTATTTTTCAAATTGTATTCGAAATTCAAATAAGTTTATAGTAAAATGTTTGTTTCTATGTATGTAAGTAAATATTTTTTTTTTGCTTTGGTGTTGGTATGAAAATACTTTGTGCAACTATGTATGTGTGTGTGTGTACAATTGTGTATACAAGCAGAAAATTAATTTAATAAAATTATTGTGATTTATTTTATATTTTTTGTTGTTGTCGTTGCTGTTGTTTCATTTCTGTTTAAATTAATACTCATATTTCTTTTTAAATTTTTTGATGTGATTTAAATTTTCGTGTTTTTTTTTCTTTTGTTAGCTTTCGGTTGTTTTTTAATTGAAAATCTCAGTAAATTAACGCAAATTGTTATAAAAAGAATATAATTTTTAAATGAATTCAATGAAATAAATTAATTTGTCTGATTGAAATTTGTTGTTTTTTTTTTTATAAAATAAAAGTTAAATTTGTTGGGTAGAATATACGAAATATTATTTGGCCTCAAAAACTAAATTGTCAGCAAAAAATATATAGATATATATAGATATGAAAAGTATGCCGGCAGAATGTTTCCTAGTGGCATGGACTTGCTGATCTTCCTCTTAAGCTATCTCAGAGAGCGCTCATATACTGCGATCTCTGAGATCAAGATTAATTCAGGGGTACGATAAGACCCCGCTCATTCTCCTATTCTATTTCCCATTTTCATAAGCAACCTTCTTTGTCTAACTTTCAATCCTATCCACTCTTTCGCCACTGACAGCAACATCTGCAGGCCAAGACCTTTGGATATTGGGACAAATTAATGTCGAAGTGCTTTTTGGGAACACCTGCCGTGTTGGCCTAACTTCACGGTGGTTTTTTCGTATACAGGGTGAGCTTTTGTGAAAACTCACCAACGCCCATATGTGTATCTTACACGCGGGTGGCAATTTTTTTACATATACAAGCACTTTACTCAAGTACTCAAGCTATCCAATCTCTGACTATTGCTGCACCGTTGCTTAACTTCCGAGATGTAAAAACATCACTACCGTTTAAAATCGCGATGATGGGATGGCATCTGTTGAGTCGGCAACAGCACCTACAGACGTATTCGGTAGTCACGAATCCATCAGATAAGACGAGAACTTCATTCTTACTCACAGAAAACACACAGTGGTAAATCTGGTATGAACAGAGTTTTCCTTGAACATACCTGGACAAGGAAGGAAAATTCAATGGTATCACTTACACTACATATCGGTTCCGAAATTGGTCATTGTCCAAAATAATAAGATTTTTATATTAAATCAGGCTCAATTAGTGGTATGAATACGAATTGAACAATTTTGAACAAGAATACGTCTTAATTTGTTGCTAGAACAAATAAAATGCCCGATCCATAAAACATGGTTATTGTCTCGGGTATGGTTATTAGCATTTTTGTATACTTTGGAAATCGGAGGATTTGAAAAATCTGTTTAAATTAAAGGAAATATATGGAATTATCAAAATTTTCAAGTATATGTTGTAAGTATTAAGAAATCGGAGTTAAATTTCGGATTATAAGAACGTACTGTATTCAAAATGCCCAAATCCAATAAAATAACAACTCTTTTTCAAAAGTTAAAAACTCAACTTCTAATGCATCATTTAGAAGGTTCAATGACCACCAGATCCAAAATCCGGGTCTAAAGTGGTAAAATATAATATAAATGTGTTACTTTTTTGTTTTTTAAAAAAATAATATCCTTTTTTAAATAAAACCAATTGTCAGTATTTCTGTATACTTATTTTTGTGATTAACTGTATATAATATTTTAATCCAACTTAATAATTAATTATTATGCACAAGAGAACAAAATTGATGAAAAATTAATATTTATTCTATTTTTTTTTTTCATTATTAAGAAAATTTTTCAATCAAAAACATCACCACTTATATAACATTACATATTCAAATGAAAGTAATTGGAAAAAGTAAAAAATTTAAATTGAAATTAATAAGAAAAATATTCAATATATAATAACAATTTGTATACAAAGAAATGTAATATGAAAAATAAAGAGAAAAAAAAAACACTGTCATGAATACATAATAATAATTAAATAAATTGTAAAGCAAATTAATAAAAATAAATTAAATAAATATTCATAATATAATATTATAAAACAATAACAAGGCATTGTTGTAAATAGAAAAAAGTTTACCTTAACATCAGCTAGTGTAGTAATTTTTTTCCATAATGAATCTTCACCAAATATTGAAATCATTTGTGTGGCATTGTTATTGCTGCTGCTGCTGCTGCTGCCATTTGGTGAAGGTGATGCTGCCGAAGTGATGCAAATGCGACATATTTGTAGATAGTTGTTGTTAGCTAAAGATGATGATAATGATGATGATGTTGCAGCAGCCATAGTGAAAACATTTAATTTAGATTTTTTAACACTTTAAACACTTATTGTTGTTGTTTTTTTTTTTTAATTACCAAAAACAAAAATTTTAGATTTTTTTTTTCGATTTTCTTTTAAAGATGTTCTTTATCTGTTTAATTAGTTTGTTATAATTATATTTTCACTTATACACGAATATGTTGAAGCATATTTTTGTTTTTGTTAGGTGTGTTTTTTTTTCTGGATTTTGTTGTTGTTGTTTTTTTATTTCTTTATATTGGACGGAAGGAAGGTGTTTGTTGTTTTAGTGCTGAGTTGTTACAGATTTGTAACATGTATGATGATGACATGTGGAACGAACCAGCGAACGAACAGCAACTTGTTAGTGTAAACAAATCATAAAAATCACACTTTGCACACACACATTCAAACACACACACGCGCACAGCAAGTAACAACAAGTGTGCGAATTTAATAAAAATCAAATATCCGTGAGATACAAACAAAAATTACTGAGAGAGCGAGTGAGAGAGAGACAGAATAGTAGTTATTTTTCTTCTATTATTTAAATTATTATTAAGCAAAAGAAAACTGCAAAAACAAATAATAAATTAAATGACAACAATAACAACAACAAAAATTATCACACATTTAACTAGAAATGACTATATTTGCCAGAGCACAAAATAAGAGATGAAAACATACACTTAAGAGAGCGATTAAAAGAGCATAACACAATTCGCAAGTATCTTTCTTTAAATGCTGAACTACTGTTACGCGCGCAAGATTTTTTATAAATATTTTAAAATTTCTTGTTTCTTAAATTGTTGTTATTTTTTTTTTGTAAATTAATTTTGTTTTGAAAATTGTGTTTTTACAGGAAAAGGAAATATTTTTTACACACACACACACACCCGTTAGTAATTTTTTTTTCTTTTTCAAATAATTTAATTAAAATTTTAATAATTTTTTTTTTTGTTTTTCATTAACTATTTTATAATAATTTTTAAAAAATTTAAACCGTAAGCGGCGGTGGCAACGTTAAACGACATACTACAACTCTGCTGATCCAATAACTAAAACAGACTGCGAACGACGACTACGACTACGTTAATGTCTTGTGTGTGACTCTGGGACTGTTGCCGTGGTTGTTGTTCATGTTGATGTTTTGTTGTTGTGTGTTTGACTCCGACTCTATACTAAGTGAATCTAAAATAAAAAAAATAATGAAAAATAATATAATAAAATAACAACAAAAACAAACAGCAGCAGAGGAGAATAAGAAAATTTTGTTGTATATTAATAATAATAACAAAAACATATAAAATAAAACGTAAACACACACACACACCATCAAACAAACAATAGTTTTGTTTTTTTTTTATTTTAAGAAATTACAATTATTTACAAACGAGTATTTCGTTCGTACCAACCAAATATTTTCTGAAACACACTCACACACATACTTTTACCCACACTAACATACATTTAGAATAATTTTTTATCCAACAATAAGAACAACAAACAAAAAACTAGAAAATACTCTAGAAAAAAAAAAATATTGAAAATTTTAGTTTAGTTTCAGTTTTCTTCTGTTTGTTTTTTCAATAAATTGTGTGAAAAATACAAAAAAAAAAATAAGTATAAAGAATTTATGTATTAAAAACGAAATAAATGAAACACGATAAGATAGGATATAAATTGAAAAACTTATTCACACACACACACTAAAACACACATTTACATTTACTTGTGTAAATGTGTAAATAATGTAAGAAAATATTGAAATAAATTAAAATCGAATGATGTTAATTATGTTTTAAAAATGCAAAAAAATAATTAAATAACAACACCAAGAGTATTTACAACAAGAGAGTGTAGGTACTTATACCCTACACCACTTTAGTGGGGTTTGTGCTGATGTTTGTAACGCACAATAATATTGGCCCTATACCCACCTTAAAGTATACCAATCATTTTCTGAGTCGATTTAGCTATGTCCGTCCGTCCATGTCAGGAATGGGGGGCAATGATTACACAAAGTAATTCATTACATGGTCAATTACAATTACTTGTAATGTGTAATTGAGCAATAACCAATTACAATTACTTGTAATTGTAATGGAAATCTTTCCAATTACAATTACTTGTAATGTGTAATTGACCACTAACCAATTACAATTACTTGTAATTGTAATTGAAGTTTTGCCAATTAAAATTACTTGTAGGTATTACTAATTACATGTAATTATAAGGAACAAAATTCACAATTACAAGTAATTGTAATTGGAAAAACTTCAATTACTATTACAAGTAATTGTAATTGTCAAAACTTCAATTACAATTACAAATAATTGTAATTGGCAAAACTTCAATTACAATTAAAAGTAATTGTAATTAGTAAAGCTTCAATTACAATTACTTCAAATGTAATTGTAATTGAAAATGTTGTCATTACTCCCCAAGCCTGGTCCATGTAAACCTCGTAATCAAACTACAGGTCGCAATTTTTAAGATAATTCAATGAAATTTGGTACATGACCTTCTATTGTCACAGGTTAAGATCGGTCCATTATTTCACCTAGCCCCCATACAACTGAACCTCCGAATAGGGCTTGTAAACCTTGTAATCAAACTAAAGAATTATCTTCAAATTTTGAAGATAATTCAATGAAATTTGGCACACGATCTTCTATAGTATCGGAGACGAAGCCTATTGAAAATAGTTTACATCTGTCCATTATTTCACCTAGCCCCCATACAACTGAACACCCGAATAGGGCTTGTAAACCTTGTAATCAAACTACAGGTCGCAATTTTGAAGATAATTCAATGACATGATCTTCTATGTTACCGGAGACTAAGCCTATTGAAAATGGCTAACATCGGTCCATTATTTCACCTAGCCCCCATACAAACTGAACCCGCCGAATAATGCTCTTAAGTTCATAATTGTGTTTAATATACTCGTATCTCGACAAAAAACTGCAAAACCAAGTTCTATACTAGCCTTTATGATTCTCATGAATTTTATAATTATAGGGTCTCATTTGACCATAGCCCCTATACAAAGCTCCCTTCAAAATTTGACTTAAATATCCACAATTTTATTCAACAATAAATGGCTTAAGTACATCTGAGACAAGGTACAATTCAACTTAAATGCTTTATTATGAAAACTGAAAAATCACATTTTAATTTTGTAACAGGTGTAGGGTATTATATGGTCGGCCTCGCCCGACTATAATTTCTTACTTGTTGTTTTTTTATGGTGAGAGTAAAATGTAAAAACAAAAATATCTACATGCAATAATTAAATGTAATATTATTTAATTTAAATTAATTATCTACATATTTAATTATTTAAAAGTAAAAAATTGTGTAACAATTTTTAAATTATAAAAAAATGATTTCTTCCTGTTAGTTTTTTTAACAAAAATGATTAAAAGTCACCAAAAAAATCGGATTTCCGTTAAAGATATTCGCAAAAAAGTAGACATTTTAAACTTGTTAAAAATTGTTGGTCTTTTAAAAAAAAAAAACTAACAAAAATATTTTTTTGTTAAAATTTTGCGAAAACAAACTTTTAAAATTTAAATAAAGTTCATATTTGTGAATATTTTTTAGTGAAAATTTACATTTATAAAAACTTTTTCATTGAGAATGTAAAACTAAAAGGAAATTTATAATCACGAATCCCTCAATTCCCATATACTTTTGAAAAATCCCAAAAATAGTTTTTATTAGTATTTTGGCCAGCGCGGACTTATCGAAACCCTTTACAGAATAATTATGAATAATCCCTAGACAAAGACGAAAAGCTCTTAATCCAGTCAACAAAAATCACTTTTAAATAAAACAAGTAAGAAATTATAGTCGGTCGAGGCCGACCATATAATACCCTACACCTGTTACAAAAATAAAATGTGATTTTTCAGTTTTCATAACAAAGCATTAAAGTTGAATTGTACCTTGCCTCAGATATTGTTGAATAAAATTGTGGACATTTAAGTCAAATTTTAAAGGGGCTTTTTATAGGGGCTAGGGACAAATGTGGTCCTATAATTATAAAATTCATTAGGGTCATTAAGGCTAGTATAGAACTTGGTTTTACAGCTTTTTGTCGACATACGAATATATTAAACATAATTATGAACTTAAAAGGCCTATTCGGCGGACCGATGTTAAAAATTTGCAATAGGCTTCGTCTACGGTACCATAGAAGATCATGTGACAAATTTCATTGAATTATCTCCAAAAATGCGACCTGTAGTTTGATTATAAGGTTTACAAGCCCTATTCGGGGGTTCAGTTGTATGGGGGCTAGGTGAAATAATGGACCGATCTTAAACATTTTCAATAGGCTTCGTCCCTGGGACAATAGAAGATCATGTACCAAATTTCATTGAAAGCTAAATCGACTCAGAAAAAGATTCTAAGTCGATTGGTATACTTTAAGGTACCAATATAGGACTTTAAGGTACCATTATAGGACCAATATTATTGTGCGTTACAAACATCAGCACAAATCCAATATACCCTCCCCACTAAAGTGAGAATGTTATATAGAGATAATAAGATCATGATGTAATCTTTGCCCACTATAGAAAGGTCAGTTGAGGATCAACAGTGACTAAGTCTGTTTTTTCTCAAAATTCGAAAAAATACAATTTTTTTTGAAATTATGTTTTCAGATTTTTAGTAAAAATACGGTAGAATCGAATTTTATGTAAAATATTATATTCTTAATGAAAAAACAAAATGGATTTTAGTGAAAATTTGGATTTTTAGAGAAACATTTTTATTTTTTGCGAAAAATTTAATTTCTATTGAAAAAATTGAATTCTTGTAAAAAAAAATTAACTTTTAGTAAAAAAATTAAATTTTTATGAAAAATCTGATTTTTAATAAAAAATGTTTCAGTTTTTAATGAAAATTCGAAATTTTTAATGAAAAATAAAATTTTTAGTGAAAAATCGTAAATTAAGTAAATATTCCCATTTTTAGTAGAAAATTAGGATCTTAGTAAATTTTTTGTAATAAATTTTTTTTCGAAAATCAAAGAAAAGCTAAATTTTAATGAAAAATTGTCATAATTTGTAAAAAAAACGGATTTAGTAAAAATTAGAATTTTATGTCAAAATTGAATCTTTAGTAAATTTTTTGTGAAAATTCATATTTTCCACGATTTTTTGAGGAAAAACGATATTTAGAGAAAAACTGAATTTTTTAGCATTTTGGAACACACCTGGTCCCCTCGGTATTAACATTTTCGAAACTTTTTTCCATTTACAATAAAGTAAATAAAGTTAGATTTTTAAAATGTAAAAAATTCTTATACATCTTCAAAGAAAATTTTTAGAAAACTTAAAAAAAGTACTTTTTTCACAAAAAATTGTATTTCTTTGATTTTTTAAATTGAAATGCATATAACTTTAGGCTCATGATTAGAGTTGCCATTTTGGTGCTTTTAACTTCCTATACCCTGAGATTTTTTAAAAATACCCCGAAAAATTAAACTTTATATTTTAACCCCCTTATTCACAAACAACATTTTTATTTTATAAAAGGTTTATAAAACAAAATGTCCATACAAAATCAAATTTATAAACTGTTTATAAAATACAAATTTTGTTTGTGAATAAGGGGATATATATATTAAGTCAATTATGGACCGAACCCTTTTGAATTAACAAAATGTTTATTTTTAAAAACAAAATATTTTTGTTAATTTTTTATGGACAGTAGGGTCGTAAAATTTGATAGAAAGGTTTCGGTTCGTATAATACTTATTGGTTTCGGATTTCATCGCACTACTCGTATTTAATTTTGGACCGATCCACTACCCTTTTATAAATTTCAATTCAATGAGTATGCTGCGTGTTTAATTTTGTGTTTTTAAGGTTCAATGTTATAAAAGAATCAAAAAGTACCGAAAAATTCCCTCTTATAGCTTTTCATTACATCAGATATGTCTGATTTTATGTTTCTAGGTCCCATATTGCATAAAAAACAAAAAGTACCAGTTTAAGAACGAAAAAGTATCAAAAATCATTTCTTACAAATTTTCATTAACTCTAGACTCTGAATGTTTAATTTTATGTTTCTAAGTTATAGAAACTACAACAAGGTATTTATTGGAAGAACGAAAATGTATTAAAAAGTCCCTTTTTATAGGTTCTCATTTACGTCCATCACCTTTCAACCCA